ATCGCACAGTTTAATTAACAGCCATACTATCGCCGTATGTTCCGGTCTGTCCTCCGTTGATATTACCCTCCACCGGTGTTCAGGTACGACGCCGAACTGCGAAGTCGCCAAGAAGTGTGCCATCCAAAAACAAGCGGAACGCGCCAGAGCTTTGAGGGGGTTGCAGCAGGAGGCCAGAATCGTGATGCGCCTATGCTGCAGCAGGTTGCGTAACGCCGGACTCGGGCGCCGGGCGTTTGCGTACGTCAGGCGCGATCGCAAATCAGAACAGCGGAGGAGATACATGGAGCGGCGGGTTGCAGAGTGCGACCAGGAGGATGCTGCAATGGACGCACAGGCCGTGGCTATGTTCTCCACGCTAACGAAGGGGCAACACGTCACGCTGCTGGAGCCTCACGAGCAGCCACCCCCGGTGACTGATGCACCCACGAGCGACGTCAGCGTGGCCGACCCTCCGGAGGTTCTCGCCACACACGCAGCGGCCGCGGTGTGACCCTCAGCAAACCGGTCCATGCATGTTGGCATGTTTGCGTTCTCGGTGCATGAATCAACAGTGTTTTATCACCCAGTTCAGCTGGCACAAGGCCGCGCTGCGATGATAAAAAATCTCTCTTCGGGGCAGCACGGTCGGTGTTTCCGTCTATTAAGTAAGTAACATGGCTATTTGTGATTCTTTCTCTAACCAACGACACCGTTATAGTGCAATGAAGCTTCGCATAGAGTTTCGTCGACATCGCCCATTAACTTGCCTAATACGGTTGAAAATTGGTCGATTTATGACTTGCCGTCGGTGGGCCAAACTGCGTTGGAGATAGCCTCTTTTGCGGGCCCCAGAAATCTGTCCCAATACGTGATTTGTTTTTCTCTTGATTCTACCCTACCTACATATTCAAAAAACCGTGTCTATAAACTTTCATGAACTAATTCGATAAACTGATGAAATGGGGTCGTTTGGGCGTCGAGAGAACCTGATTTTCGCCGTTTCATACTTTAATCAAGTAGTTTGGGGAAATTCAGGATGCGAAATACTTCACGGCACAAGAGCTGAAATCTCCACGCCGTTTGTTTGACATAGACTCTGAAACTTTGCATACATATACCTTGGGTCGACACGAAACGCTGTGCGGCTGGCCCTTGTTCATTCTCTTCCATGGTTGCCGGTTATTCGGGGTCCCAGGAGCCGCACACGACCCCGAAATCTCTAGGACCCCGGATATCCGGCGACAGGGGGGGGGGGG